AGGACTCTAATGTCTTTGCCAGTTTTTGACTCCCACAGGACTCTAATGTCTTTGTCAGTCTTAGCCTGTCTGACGCTGCAGCTGACGCTCCAGGAAAGTGCTACCTAAAATGGACACCTGATTGCTGAGTTCTCACAGCTGTGGGGCAACGTCCTTTTAATTAGTTAACTCTCTGCAGCTGGTGGCCCTCAAAAGGAAATCTAGACTGGCTTCGTCCTGATGTGTTATTGTCTTTTAAGTCAATTACATTAAACCCTAAGTTATAAAGTTCTGAGTTTAACCCTTAATACAGTTACACCTACTCAATAAAGCTCTTAGTATTCTACAAATGTTTAAATCAAAGTTAACCCTAGTAGTCAGTTAGATCACTTTTAAGGTTTCAGTCAAATGACTTTTCCCAAGTTTGTGCCTGACAGATGCTGTAGCGGTTTTGAGTTTTTAAAAACACAATTCCAGTCAGATCAACTACAGAGCATTGATACAGAGTACACACACTGAAACAGAGAAGTCTACAAACACAGTGTTACTCACACAATTCTAGAAGTCTCCAGTAGCTTTCTTGTCAAAAACTAGTTGCACACATATATATATATAGTTTGAATAGTTATTATTTTACCTTTAAGTTGTTAAGGTTATTTGAAAGTCAACATATCATTGTGATGTCACGTTGGTTTGAATGTGTGTCGGTTACACTTAGTTTGAAAAAGAAAAACATCAGATAGTGTTGAATATTCAGCAGAGGCAGAGTACATCAAACAGAACACCTCACACAAGCAATTAGCATATTTCATGCCCCAAAGCAGAGTGCAGCTACTTCATAATCCAGGTCTCATTCAATTCTACTGTGAGAAGGCACGATAATGTCTGATAACAACATTTCTGGGAAGTTGTGATGGCATTTACAAATACTTGCTAAATCAATTCAATCACATTTCCATAAATACATGATTTATATTTGGCATGTTTCTTAAACAGGTTGAAATAACAATAGGTTAGCATAGATACAGCTTTAATATAAAACATATTCTAGCAGAAATAACACATTTAAAGAGGTAGAAGGGAAATAGGACTCATATATAGGATATAGGCAATGAAGATAGTTAAAAAGTAAAAGGATGTATACTGTAGGCTACTGATGATACCTTGTTTAAAATTGCATTTTCTACATCAGAATATCATACTGAGGTTATCCATTTCCGATAAAACTGTGAGTCTATTTTTGTTGGTAACTGGAATGTTTATAAAAACAACAACAGCATATTTTTCCTTAAAACAACTGGTGGCCTTAAAAGTCCCAGAGGGATTCTCATTTCATGCATTTTTTTTATTGGGACACACAAGGTAATCAGTGACTTTTCACAATGTGTGAAATCAATAGGAACCACTCGCTCTGACGTCTAAATGCAAATAGCAACCTCACTGGAGTGTATCGCTGAAAGGCAAACAGGAACACCCAAAATCCTACAACTCTATTTTCAGGACGTTTGGAGAAAAATTTCAACACAAACCTTAAAGCATGACTCTATCACCACTGTGAGAGAAACCTCACAAAAGGATAATTGTGATGACACTTTAGAGTGACGAGGCTGTTAACTGTACAGCTCACTTGTAGATGAAATAATGGCACATTGAAGGCTGTAAAAAGGGCTAGTGAATTGGTCCATTAATTGCAACCAGTTAACATTGTGCATGCTCACAGTGCTTATTTTTCTGAACAGCTAAAGGTTTGTTGTTGCTTAAGGCTACCAATTCAACAAGAGTCAACACACAGGCAAGCTGGCAGCTCTGTAAGGCACAGCGGTGCATTGAGCTCACAGCGATGATGTTAAATTGCTGTCTTTCAGTTGATAGTTATGTTTACCATGTTCATCATGTAAGCTTAGCATTTAAGCATGGTCATATTTACTTATAAACAGAGGGAACTAATAAGGCTGATTTAAATGCTATAGGTATTCGGTCGTAAATCAAAGTATAGGACAATTTTAACATTTGGCTTTAGGGTGAAGCTCAAATACAAGTCAAAAGATCAGCAAGTCATGAGGATGTATCTGATGGGCATCAAAAATGTAGTTACAGTTGTTGTTGTTCTTGTTGTTGTTGTTGTTGTTGTGATATTTCAGTCTGTACTAAAGTGGCAGCCACCTAAAAAGTGAGGAGCAAAACTGACTGAAAATATAGATAACTCTCATACATTTACACTTTAATGTGGATGAATGTGCACTGATCAAAAACTAAACACAAAATGGGAAACTATAGCAGCTATAGCTCTTTTGGAAGCACTGTTGTAAAACCTTACACTTTTATGCTTCTAGCTAATTAAATGTGCTGCTATTTCAACCAAAACTTCAGTCCGGACAAATAATGCCGTGCTGATTTCAATAGCGTGACATTTCAGTCTACACAGTGGGTCCCAGCAGCCAGCAGTGTGTGGTCTAGTGCCCAGGAGCTACAACTTGAGACATGAGGGTGGGGGGGCAAAAGGGCAGAGAAGGACACTGGCTTCTGTAGTAGCTGTGTGTTTTCAACTGTGTCTAGGAATGTGTGTACTGGAATGACATGTCTGTCTAGTTTTTGTTGTTATCCACGATGAGTTAAAACACCAGTTACAGAGGAGAAAGGACCCCCTCCTGGTCAGGAAAGAGGGGGGGGGGGAGAGATTAAAGGTGAAGAGATTCTGAGTTTCCCCAGGGCAGAGACAGATAGATAGGGAGAGAACAAGCCTTTAATCTGTACAATAAGACATCCAGGCTATGAGGGACTGATCCTTGTTCTTGATGTGTATTGTCAAGCATATAAGACTTCTTCAGCAATTCCTTTTCTAGCCCTCAAATGAATTAACCCTGTGAGGTTCAGATATCAAAATACATTAAAGTAAGAAGTAGTAATATTCTGTGTCTTCTTTTATTTATCCTATGCTAGAGTGCATGTAAATAAAACTCCAAGGCATTAAGAGATTCATTAGAAATGTATTTCATAAACAATTTGTAGATACTGCTAGTGATTTGAGGATTACTTAATTAGTAAATAATAAAATAATCCTCAAATGATTGGTCAATAACTTTCCTAATTAAAGGAGACCTATCATGCTATATTTGAATAATATAACCTCTCATTCCCCTGATTGGTGGACAGTTGGCCATATAGGCGGAGCTCCTCGTCACTGACGTCACACTATTTTCAAATCTGTATCAGTCTGTATCAGATCCGTTGTAGCCCCGTTTTTAGAGATTTGGGTATAGAGGAAAAGAGAGAGGGTTGTGTTTTCTGACACTTGGTGAGTTCCCTGACACACCGGGGAGACATATTCATGTATAAAAGACGTACAAAAGTGCATTTTGCATGATAGGTCCCCTTTAATTGTTTGGGCTATAAAGGCCACACAATAGATACATGTGCTCAAAAAGTATCAATTTTAGGTTTTAAAAATTGCTTCCGGGTTGAATGACCAACAATTAAAAAATATTCAGTTTACAATGATATTCAATCTAAAGCAATGATTAATTTACCAATCGATCAACTGCTAAATTGACTGGATCATAACTTAAACTCTAGAAAATGAAGCAGAAGTGCCTTAATGAGCTCATACAGAAAAGGTGGAATCTGGGTGATACAAATCTGCTGAAATATATTCCTTCTAAAAACATCTCAAACCTGTTAAATAGCAATAACTAACTCTTAACTTGATAAATCCACAACAAGTAGAGCTTAAAGTATTTTTATAATTTGTATTATTTGTATACTTTATACAAAGCTTATTTATATAGGAACGTCACTGGTGTTACGTGTTACCAGGAAGAAGAGTAACACCAGTGATGGTAACACCAGTGACAATTTGGAGAAAACACTACCATTTTAACAAAATTGCTGCCATGTGTCAGACCAAATGTGGCTTCAGTCAATATCAAAATCGTTTAACTCTTCAATACAATACATTTTCCCATTCAAATGTTCACCCCTAGGGCTATGCAATGAGTAACACTAATGACAGACTTGAAAGACGCACGTAACATTTGAAGATAAAATGACACCTTTAACAAACAAAGTAAGAAGTATCTGACTTTCCTTATGTCTTTGTCCACTGCTCTGCCTCAAATGATCTCTTGTTACAGGAGGCACTTCAGAGACAGTACATTATTTCAAAAATAAAAGCGTTTTGTGTAGCAGTAACACCAATGACGTAATTTTGGGTGACTGACATTTATTGGATATTATTAATAATAATTTGCTTTTTTTTTTACCATTTCAGTGTTATATTTAATGTATGTAATGTTATGTAAATATGAATGAGATTTATTTATTGAAAAAAAAATGTTTAAATGAAAACTATAGGCTCCACCTCCATGTATGATCAAAGTAACAAGGCAGTTCCTTGAACTTGGCATTTTAAATAAATTGCAATTTATGTATAAAACTATTTTTTTATTTGGTACCATTGCAAAGACAATCTCTTTTTATTCAACATATATAATGAATGTGAGTATTAGGTCAACGTCATGTATTTTGGTGTCTGCAAAAGTAAGTGACAGTACTTCCACCTTTTCTGTAGAATGACCAAATATCAACCTCATGTCCAGACCAGGTCCACTCCAGACACAAACAAAACACTATCCTATTAACTAAGGAAAGCCACATTGATTAGATAAGATATAAAAGAAAGAAATACAGTTTTAAACTTTGAAATAGGCCACAACACGTAGGCTACAATGAAGGCTGCATCGCTGCACAAGAACAAGCCCGTCTGAACACATAACACTGTTGAACGGGTTTGACCAGTTGAGCCTCTTCCTGACTGCTCTGTTTGGGTGCATACAGTCTCTGAGTTTAAGAATACCTAAGCAGGAAATGTCAAATTAAGTATACAGGCATATAATGTACACAATGATGCAAATATCCTTACATTTCTGGACTTTTTATAAGCGTACCTACTCTTGTCTTGCAGCAGGTGCTTCCTTGACAACCCTAGTGTGAACTTCGCCAACAACAAGTCGCCACAAACTTACCTTTCCCTTCAGGTCGAGGATAAATATCGCCGACGCCGACATCTTGGTGGATAGAGAATAATCCTCGAGAGCAGGAACTAGTCTAGATAATATGTAGGTCTACTGTAAAATATGGGTCACTTAAAGGGAGTAGTATTCGCTCCCATCATCCTGCTTCATCCTCTCCTCCACTCCCTTCAGTCTGCGTTTCACTGCAACTCGCTGCTTTTCCGGAGCGGAGCGTCAAGCTACATGTACTGACATAAATATAACTTCCGGCGTTAAGTGAGTTGTTTTTTTCTAAATTCACCCACTATGACCAGTACAGTTGTACACAAATACAATTTGATTATATATTTCTTCCATTAGCCACATTTACGGGGAGGGGCGTGGAGATATTGTTCCTTTTAGTCTACATGTTTATTATTTCACAGCCATAGACAGGCTTATGTAGGCTACAGTTTAGATCAGGAGTGTCAAACTCAATTTCATCGCGGGCTACATTCGCATAAAGTTTGCACTCAAAGGGCCAGTTGTAACTATATAATATATAAAAAATTATGTATTATATTACATTATTGACTCTGAATTGGATTATTATCGGATAGGATAATAACTTAGTTATTAACTACGTCTGAAAGGCAGCAGAAGTCCAGGGCAAATAATTGCAAGTCTCTTCAGTGCGCATGTCACAAAATGAGATGCATTGTGGGACATGTAGTTTATGGGCAACCTGCTTCTGTAGAGTGGCATGTAACCATATAATACAGTTGTTCTCGATTGCTAACACACTAAAATTATACATAAAGCACAATTATTTTAACTGACACTCAAAGAGCAAAACATCGGCTCAAATCTCCAAAACTCTAAACACGTTTTTAGCTTTTCACACAATTTGCAAATCAACATGGCACTTTTTGCAAACCACTGCACACGTTTCTCCACGTAAGACACAGGAATCTGACATAAAGTCACATGTTAGCAGGTTTAAAACACTGATATTCAAAATGCCTCACACATGGACCAATGATCAAGAAACACGTTCCACCTGACCAAACACCTGATAGCATAATTGTTGGCTCATCAATCGATGTTAGTACAGGGGGAAAAAACACAGGTGAGTACTTTCTTACAGTAACAATGGAAGAAAGTTGCAAGAGGAAGAGGAAGAGCTGCGCTGAGAGTGAGAGGAGGAGGAGGAGGAGGAGGAGGAGGAGGAGGAGGAGGAGGAGGAGGAGGAGGAGGAGGAGGAGGAGGAGGAGGAGGAGGAGGAGGAGGAGGAGGTGGGTGAGAGTGAGAGGTGGGTGAGAGTGAGAGGGGGAAGAATGAGAGGTAGAGGTAGAGCTGGAGGGAGAGGACGTGGACAAAGAAGAATACTCTCTAATGAAATGAAATGTTATCAACCATGGTTTGACGATGAGAGAGGCTGGACAGAGGGTTCAGCCTAATCTAAGCCGGTTACTCTGTAATTCGGACACTTAGACTTGAAAACAGGTTAGTTACCAGTTTGTAGCTCTGCGTAATTCATGATATATCAGTGCTTATATCTGTTGTGTGAAACGTATTTACTTCATTACTGTAATTGAATTGTTGGCATGTTGCATACTATAACTGTACAAAAATCCTGCACAATGTACTGTGGTAAACTTACTTTTATGCAACACAGACACTGACCAACCACTATATCTTTGTTGTTTATCTGAAGGACAGAGAAACAAAGAGGTGCAGGTGGAAGGCTAAGGATTTCCAATGAGGCACAGGAAGCAGCAGTTACAAACTTGGTTTTGGCAAACAATGCATCACACTTAGAGAGATCCGAAGCATAGTAACTATGTGCTGAGATGCATGTTGCACAATGTTGTTTTTTAATAAAATATGATTTTTTTCAACAACTCATTTGTATTTCTTCATTTACTGTATTTCTGTAAACTCAAGCAATCTTTCTCTGCAGAAACCTCTATGTACAGAGCATAGCCCATAACAGATGAGAGTGCTTTAGAGTATGCTCAGCAGTGTGTAGTTGGGTGGTCAAACAATCTAGTATTATGAATGAAGTGTGTTATATTTGGTGCAAAAGTTTGCATTTGGTAAGTGTTTATTTAGTTTTGAGTGCAGTTCTTCACTTAGCAGGAGAAATTAGGTGTTTTGCACTTTGGGTGTGTGGTTTTGTGAATTGTGTTTAGTGTTCTGAGAAACTGTGCAATTTAAAAAAAAACGTGTGTTAGCAATCGAGAAAAACTGTAAACGTATTATATTCCTTGCAAGCTCTTGCGGGGCCACATAAAATGAAGTCGCGGGCCGGATTTGGCCCCGGGCCTTGAGTTTGAGACCCCTGGTTTAGATACTGTGGTAGATAGTAGGTTAAACGAAACGCATGTTCAGTTTATAAACACAATGCATTGTAATAAATTACAGTTTTTCTCGATTGCTAACACACTAAAATTATACATAAAGCACAATTATTTTAACTGACACTCAAAGAGCAAAACATCGGCTCAAATCTCCAAAACTCTAAACACGTTTTCAGCTTTTCACACAATTTGCAAATCAACATGGCACTTTTTGCAAACCACTGCACACGTTTCTCCACGTAAGACACAGGAATCTGACATAAAGTCACGTGTTAGCAGGTTTAAAACACTGATATTCAAAATGCCTCACACATGGACCAATGATCAAGAAACACGTTCCACCTGACCAAACACCTGGTAGCATAATTGTTGGCTCATCAATCAGGATGTTAGCACTATAAAAAAGACCACAGGTGAGTACTTTCTTAGAGCAACAATGGAAGCCAACATGGAAGCAAGAGGAAGAGGAAGAGGAAGAGGTGGGGTGAGGTGAGGTGAGAGTGAGAGGAGGAAGAATGAGAGGTAGAGGTAGAGCTGGAGGGAGAGGACGTGGACAAAGAAGAATACTCTCTAATGAAATGAAATGTTATCAACCATGGTTTGACGATGAGAGAGGCTGGACAGAGGGTTCAGCCTAATCTAAGCCGATTTACTGTCGCCTCTGTAATCCGGACACTGAGACTTGAAAACAGGTTAGTTCCCAGTTTTTAGCTCTGCATAATTCATGATATATCAGTGCTTATATCTGTTGTGTGAAACGTATTTACTTCATTACTTTAATTTAATTGTTGACATGTTGCATACTATAACTGTACACACATCCTGCACAATGTACTGTGGTAGACTTACTTTTATGCAACACAGCAACCCAGTCTCATGGCATTTCGTGTTCACCAACACGATTTTTAATCTATTGATTCGTGTTCACCAACACGATTTGCCCCTTTTTTTCGTGTTGCACAGCACGATTTGAAAAGTTATGTATTTCTACTGGTAATGTGTTTCGTGCCTGCAGCACGTCTTTTTCTCCGGTCGGGTCGTGGAAGACCGGAAGCTGTGTGGTTCATAAAAACATGTTCTTACTCAATATCAAGCCACAATTATTGCTTTTATTTTAAATCGTATAATTTCGGACTTTTGTCGCTGTCTGTGAGGAAAATAAATGGGGCTCAGAGCCTCAGGATACTGAAATCTGTATTTTTTTAAATCTTTTTTTCCTTCTAATTTGTTATTCTTTTCAAAATAACACACTGTTATTTACTCACCAATAACACACAATTATCCTTGCTTTTATTTATTGGTTTAATTCCATAATCTCGGGCTTTTTTTGGCGTCCGTCAGGAACTGAACTTCAAAATAAAAGTAACCGGAAACAGACGTAGGCATTTTGAGCGATTACCCAGGATCCTCAGCTATAGTTTTAAGCTCGCTGATTGGGTGTTTGAGCCGCAATGCATGCTGGGATTTGGTGTTTATATGATATGAAATCCGGAAAACATTTTAAAATAATAAAATAATACCTAATTCCGAGTGCTCTTGCTTTTCTCTTTGAAAGTCATCACATAACGGCATTGTAATACACGGTTCGGATGCATTACATATTACAGATCTGCCGTAGTTCTTTATTTATAGAGCCCTGATGAGAAGACCTTTGGAAAAACTGAAGAAATGCCACCGAAACTGAATACTTGACGTGGATCATAAATATATCAACAATTAAAGAACATCTTCAATTCCTCTTCACACAATACGTCTCCTTGCAGTGTCAACACTAATTCGGCTGACTTTTACATTTGATCTAATTCAAAGATAGGTTATATTTACACCATAACGGTGCACAGCTGATATAAAAGGACTTGTAGTTTTTAAAGATATTACTGATTTTCTTTGAATGTAAGAATGTAAATACTGAGTCTGAAATAGTATAGCAATATGCTGTAAAATTATGTGAAAGCATGAATAAAACTACAAATCTTCAGATGTTGTACATACATAAGTGTCTATACACTAATAATATAAAGTTAGTATGGCTGTGTGTACCTTGTGTGCACCTCCTAGTGGTTAAAGCACGTTATTGAATTCATGTTTTTATGTTATATTTGATTAAAAAAATATTAAGAGTACATACTTTCATAGGGGAAAAGTAGAAATATAGAAATATAGAATATAAAAAATCAAGAAGATACTATAAGTGATCTCTACAATAAAACAGTTTAGTGCAGGATGTACAAAGATATTAATAGGAGGAGGTGCAAAACAGAAAAACGAATTAACCTTTATTTAAACGTTAAATAATATTTTAGATTAAGGTCTTCTCTTAAAAAAAACTTTGGGGGTATCTATCTACAGATACATATTAAGCCTGACAAAGTACTTAACGTCTAATATATTGCTTTCCTGAAATGTTAACTTTGTTGAAGCACTTATTTTAACTGATATTATACATATGAATTATACTCTTATGTATGTAGATAGTATAAGAAATGTGCAGAATATGACAGTTTAATGGTGGATGTACACACATATTGATAGATGTCTTGTAATGCACTGTTGAGGAACCTGTGACCCAAGTTTTTCATTCATTGCATAACTACACCGTAGTTGTGTATATGATATGTCAATAAACCTTTGAAAATCTTGAAAGGGATGTGCAAAATGGCCATAATATACAGTCTTTAATTAACTATTAGTAGAGAATAACGTGTAATAAATATACTTTATTACTCGTTTCCATTCATGTCAATTGCAGATACATGTTTAGTCTTCTCAAGCACCAACTATCAAATATCTCTCCTGATTGTTGGCACTTGACAATCACCTTCCCTGAATTTTACTCAGGTGCAACTAAAGTCTGATTTAAGGGTTGTTTATATTTCACATAATTAATCAGAA